CTAGCTTGGACAGAAAAGTTCTTAAGATATCCTCTCTACTTAACCAGATAATGCAGAACTGGCTAATTAGAGAGGATGGTTCTCAAGTGGTAAAGCACCAGCCAAGCAAGCATGGACCCTACTAGGTTCAAACTCTGGTATTGGAAAAACAAAACAAAAAAACCTGCAAGCATAAAGTTATGTGACTTACAGGTGATCTCTCTCTTCCTTAGCCATCTTTACTTGAAGTGAAAAGCTAACAAAGCATTTCATTTTACTAAGGAATAAATGCCAAAACCACCAGTGGCTCAACTCTCCAGACTAGAGGTAGGGTTCAAGAGGTAGATGAAACCAGGTGAAACTCCAATACTGCCACACAGAATAAGTCAGATTTAATCTTTATTCTACCTTAACTACTTCAGTGACACTAGATGGTTACTTCCTTAATTACTTTCCTAAACTTTAACTCTGTAAGTGATAATATACTGAAAGTAAAACTGTTTGTTTGACTTTCTCAGAAGTGTCAAAAGGCCAATCTGAATCTGATATGTTTCTAAGTTTGTACTAATCTAGTTTCAGTTCTGATACAGGAAAGGGGAGGAGAAATCACCTTAGTCTTCAAGGCCCAATCTGAAGGATGTTACAGAAAGAAGAGGAGAGGAGGGGAGTCACTCAGACTGATACCTGGCTGTGGACAAAACTAGAGAGAGCTCTGGCCTCAGTGACTGTCCAAAGACCCAGATTCATTCGCTAGCACCACCAAACAAAACAGAAAACAAAGACTTATGCAGCTCATTGATGGTTAGGTCCCAAACCTGGAAGCCTAGCAGTTTTCTTAAATCACGTATGATTCCAATTCTGAGGGCCACAAAGTCTAGCAAAGAACTGATCAGAACCTACAAATTCACACCAGGGTTGTAGGTCAGTGGCAGCCCACATGCCTACCAGGCACAAGGCAATTATGTATCACCAGCACTGCTTGTCCAGTAAACACATTTGCAAATTTAGCCAAGCATGGTTGTACAAGACTGTAATTCCAATACTCAAGAGGCGGAGAGACAGGAGTTCAAGATCAGCAAGAATCTGTCTTAGAAAAATAAAACCTACAATATCTACTATCTTGTTTTCTCTTATTTTGCTGTTTGAAAGGACTACATTTCATTAAAATTCTACTTCATAATCAAAGACAAAATATTCGGCTTTTATGGAACCACCGGATTTTAGAGTTGAAATTTAGTTTTACAACCATGTTCATATGGATGTTTCTGCATTTCTTCTTTCATGGATGAAGAAACAAAGAAAATAATGCCTGTAAAAAGCTATAAAACTGATCTGGGTTCTAATTCTGGTCCAAACATCATGCAAATTAACCCCTTAGACCTTATCCTACTAATATGAAAAGGCAATAATATGCTGGTGTCTGGGAGCAAATAGAATGCTTGCCTGGCACACACAGCCCCTGGGTTGGATCTCAACTCCCTTCCCTTCTCTCTCCCTAAAAAACACAAACATAGTCATGTAGCAAACTAGTAACAGTAACCAGTTTTAATGTTCATATGATTAACTTCAAGTACATACTCACGGCCTACTATAGGTGTAAAACTTATGGAACAGACATAACCGTCTTGCCATGTGGCACAGGGCTGAGAATAGCAGAATACATAAATCTGAAGACTGATTACTGGTTTTAATTTGCTTTATTTCAGTGTGTGTATGAGAGTGTGTGTGTGTACTTGGTTCTGGGGCTTGAACTCAGGGCCTAAGCTTCCCTGCTCAAGGATAACACTCTACCACTTGAGCCACAGAGCCACTTCTGACTTTTTTGGTGGTTAACTGGATAAGTCTCATGGATTTTTCTGCCTGAGCTGGCTTCAAAACTCAATCCTCAGATCTCAGCCTCCTGAGTAGCTAGGGATTACAGGCATAAGCCACTGGCACCCAGCTTTTACTTGTTTTTTAAAATGTACTTACAGTGTCTGAAGATTAGAAAGAAACCTAAATGCACCGTCCGCAATGTGAGTGACTCTGTTGTCTCCCAAATTCAATCTCTCCAGTAAGCTCAGACCCACAAAGGCAGACTCTTCAAGACGGGCCAGCTGGTTATAGGACAAATCTCTAAAAACAAGAAGTATGGAAGGTAAATAAGGTGCTATATTTTGGCTCAACTTACAATTTTTCCTATATCATCATGGGGAGTTTAGCTTCCAATAAGCTTCAAGGAAAGACAGATGTTAGATCTCTTTATGGCCATGAGAGCTACTTAATTCAACCTGTTCTAGTCCACAACCTCCAGTGATGCCACCCCACACTTAACAGGCCCTCCACTGAAATGTCACCCAACACGTACAGCTCAGACAGTCTTTGGCAGAACTCCCATGCGTCAGGGCTGATTCTTTCAATAGCATTCTGGCTCACATATAACTGTTGTAACATTCTCAAGCCATACAGCCAACCTTTGTTCACTCCAGTAAGGTTATTGTGTTCCAGTTCTCTGTAAAATTAGAAAATGGAAATAAGTAAAAACAAGGCATTTTGAGAGCAAAATCAATTTTTTTTACTAGTCCTGGGGCTTGAACTGAGGGCCTGTGTGCTGTCCTGGAGCCTCTTTGTGTTCAAGGCTAGTGCTCTACAACTTGAGTCGCAGTGCCACTTCTGGCTTTTTTTTTTTAATTGAGTAGTTTATTGGAGCTGGGATTATAGGCGTGAGCCACCAGTGCCCAGTGCAAATATAATTTTAAATCCTCATGTACTTTTGATCAACCCAAGTAACACATTCAGTTCTATTTAAGATTTATTGCTAGAGATGAAAAAGTATCAATGCTACAAAACCAGCATGCTAAAGTGGTATAGCATTCCTGTTCCAGATAATTTCAGATAGTTTTCACCAGTCAAATCATTAGGGATATAAACTTTTAATATGACAAGTTTTTTGAAAGTCTTGATTTGGTTTTTTGGTGCCTGTCCTAGGGCCTGGATGCTGTCCCTGAGCTTTTTTTGTGCAAAGCTAGTTCTCTACCATTTGAGCCACAGCTCCACTTCTGGCTTTTTGGTGGTTAACTAGAAATAAGAACCTCATGGACTTTTCTGCCAGGCTGGCTTCCAACTGTGATCTTCAGATCTCAGCCTCCTGAGTAACTAGGATTATAGCACCATGAGAAGTTTCTAAGAACAATGATAAAAATATCAATTAGCAGGCTGGGAAGGTAGTTCAGTGGTAGAGTGCTTGCCTCACATGCCTGACGCCTTGGGTTCAATTCCTCAGCACCACATGAACAGAAAAGGCTGGAAGTGACGCTGTGGCTCAAGTGGTGAGCGCTCATCTTGAGCTGAAGGGGACAGTGCCCAGGCCCAGAGTTCAAGCCCCATGACTGTACTAAATAAATAAATAAATAAGCTAACAAAACTTGGAAGCTTTATGTAAAAACCAGGTAGTGTGTGGTAGAGTGTGTGCTTAGCATTGTGAAACCCTAAGTTGACTCTCCATCACTAAACAAAAAGTTTTACATATACTTATTTCACAACAGAGAATAGAGAACTAATGTACCTTTGTATTAATTAAGCAGCCATTCTATAGATTTAGCACTGAAAGGTCCCAGGCAGACTCTATTCCTGATAACCCTCTAGTGTTCAGTACTTACAGTTCTTCCATGTTATTCAAACCAAAAAATGCTCCATCCTTAAGTTTGCTAATTCCATTGCGCTGCATTTTCAAAGATCTTAAGGAATCAAGCCCTTGGAATGTAAGACCTTCCACAATTTTAATCCGGTTTCTTTTAAGTTCCCTTAAATAAAACAATTCTAGTCAGAAAATTGGTTTACTGAAATGCTCTAACAATAAGTGAGAAGCAAGAGACAAGTGAAAGGAAAAGCTGTCTCCTGACAATCCATTATTTAGTTACTCACAAGAACTGGAGGTGGGGCAGCTTGAAGATCTTAGGTGGAATCATGCTAATCCGGTTCCTATTTAACTTTACCACTAATAAGGAACTTGATAAATTATCAAAGCAACCAGCCTCCAAAGTGGTTATTCTATTATTACTCAGATTCCTAAAATGAACAAAATAACACAAAAGAAAAAGCTTTAGGTAAAATTTACACTACTAAAAAGCTGCTCAAAGTCTGTAATTGAGCTCTGGCTCTATCACTTTACTATATACAACTTTACACATCACTTAATTGCTTTTTTTCTTCATTTACAAAATTAATATGACAAGTCTGGGAGTGTGGCTCAGTAGTAGAGTGCTTCCCTAAAATATATAAGGCATTGGCTTCAATCCCCAGAACTGAAAAAGTATGATACTACTTTATGTAGGTTGTTATGTAGGATTACGTGTAAATAAGCTTTCTTTGTGTTTTAAGTTCATTCACTTACTTTGTGTGTGTGTGCCAGTACTGGTGCTTGAACCCAGTGCCTAAGCTTTTTCACTCAAAGCTGGTGCCTTGAGCCTCAGCTCCTCTTTTGGCTTTTGGTAGTAGAGAGAAAAGAATCTCACCTACCCATGCTGGCTTAGACAGTGATCCTCAGGTCTCAGCCTCTTGAATAACTAGGTTACAGGCATAAGCCACTGGTGTCTGACTAGTGAATAGGATTTATGAACCAGAAAACACTAGCATAAATGCTAACTATCATCATCATTATACAGGGCAAGTTACTGTTTATTAATTAATTCAATCATTCCTATTTACCTTTTATAGAACTGCTGATTAGGGCTGGAAGTATGGAGGTGAGGTAGAGTGCTTGTCTAGCATTTGCAAGGCCCTGGGCTGGATCCTCAGCACCACAAACCAACTAGAAAAGCTGCTATTCTTAAAAAAAAAAAAAATCCAGAACTGGACCTCAAAGTTTGCTCTGGATGCCTATCAATGTTTTCTAACCAGTGTACTCTTTCTTCTGGAAGGAAGGTGGGAGACCAGTAATCCAACGACCCAGTCCTGGGCTTGTTTACTACATGAATACCAAAATCACAAATAAGACATTTGAGGGAAATTAGGTACCAATGAGTAATAAAAAAGTACTTAAAATTCTGAGCACATTTCTTTTCATTACCTTACTTATGTAACTATAACCCCTCTGTACATCACCTTCACAATCAAACTTTTAAAAAATAAAAAAATTTAAATAAATTAAACTCATTTTACTTACAAGTACTTAAGCTGCATTCGAGGGAAGGAAGATGTCTTGATTTCTGATATTATATTGGAACTGAGGTCTAAACTCTCAAGAGCAGGGTAAAACTGGAATGCCTCTGCATTTATTTGTGGGATTAAGTTATGAACTCTACAAAACAAATATTATAGTAAAGCTGTTACCAGTGATTCGCCGTAGGCTACAGGTCATTAAGTAACTCTGATCAACAGAATGGGTACTTTTTAAAAAACAAAGAAAAAAATCCTGTATCTATTCAGAATTTAAACAAGAGATCTGAAATCTTAATTACTTACAATGAAAGTAGAGTAATATTAGTTGTTGGTTCTCCAAAATATGGAATTTCAGTTAGTTCATTATAATTCATTTTCCTATGAAAAGAGAAAGAGACTTAAAAGCTTAATAAAAGAAATGCTTTCTGCCTCTCAAATTCTGGTTTCTGCCTAATATCTATTATTTAGGTAGGAGCTAAATTTGAAAAGGGGTTAGGTAGGAGCTAAATTTGAGTTGGGGTTTGACTAAGATAAAAATGTTATTTATCTAGAAATTACACAATTTAATAAGAAATGTTTTAATAATACTGGTTATTAAAATATTAGGAAGGCTAAAAATATTTCACATTAAATAATTTTAGTATCAGCAAAGTTCTCTGAAAACGTGCATTTATAAATTGAGTCCTTAAAGTATAATTAAGCCCACCCAGATCTCTCTCTACACACACACACACACACACACACACACACACACACACACACACATTTTTATTGTCTTCAAGTAGTTGTAACATACACTATTGAAAGCTATTTAAAGTTAAGAAGGCTGCTGAGCAACACAGGAGGAATTAACTCATCCAGGCAGAGACAGAACCTATGAGTAATTTTATTACGGTATGCATGATATGCTTATTCTTAGCTACCCTTTCAACACACTGTTTCAAAGGTTTCAGGAACAAATCTAAATCACATTTCATTAACCTAGTTTGTAATCACCAACAAACTCAAAATCAGAAAAGAAACCAGAAATACATGGTTTATAAGAAATGAGTTGAAGTTACAAAGTCATGCAACAAATCTCCCCAGGGAGGCCTTTCCTCATTGTCCATTCTTTTAGCTGTGTATTCAGTTTACAAGAAAGTAAAAGCAGTATATTTGGTGCCAGAGAGAAAATAATACAGGGACAACAGGACTCAAAGAAGTTATCCTTTTAAAAGGAGGAGTGGAACAGGGGGAGTGGCAGGGGATGACACACTGGTTCCACATGTGGAAACGTCCTAAGGGACCCCCCCCCATATGCAATGTGTGAAATCAAAATTTAAAAACAAAATCTTAAAAATTAAAAACAACTCAGAGTTCTAAGGGTGTAAAGAGAAAAGCAGTCTATCAACAGTTGCATCCTGGAGAACATCACAACACAATAACTGATACTACTGTTGGTCATGGGGCTTTAACTCTGGGCCTGGGTGCTGTCCCTCACCTCTTCAGCTCAAGGAGAGCACTATACCACTTGAGCCACAGCGCCACTTCCGGTTTTCTGGTTGTTAATTGGAGATACGCGTCTCATGAGCTTTCCTGCCTGGGTTGGCTTTGAACCACAATCCTCAGATCTCAGCCTCTTGAGTAGCTAGGATTACAGGTGTGAGCCACCAGCTCCCGGCTTACTGTTAATATTTTATAAAATAAGCATTCTGTAGGCTGATGCAGGAGGATCTGAAGTCTAGCTGGAACTATACGGTTAGACACTGACTCAAAAAGAAAAGAAATGCCAGGCGCTGGTGGCTCACGCCTATAATCCTAGCTACTCAGGAGGGTGAGATCTGAGAACTGCAGTTCAAAGCCATCCCAGGCAGGGAACTCTTTGAGACACTCCGATAAACCACCAGAAAACCAGAAGTGGTGCTGTGGCTCAGGTGGTAGAGCACTAGCCTTGAGCTGAAGAGCTGAGGGACAGTGCCCAGGCCCAGAGTTCAAAAGCCAGGCCAACCAAAAAAAAAAAAGAAAGAGAAAAATGTCAGGCACTAACGGCTCATGCCTATAATCCTAGCTGATCTGAAGACTGTGGTTTGAAGCCAGCACAGGCAGGAAAGTCTGTGAGACTATGTCCAATACACTTCTAAAAATAGCCAGGAGAAAAGCTGTGTGGCTCAAGTGATAGAGCACTAGCTTTGAGCAAAATAAGCTCAGACAGTGCCTAGGCCCTCAGTTCAAGCCCCAGGACTGGAACAACAACAACAATAAAAAGAGGTGGGGAAGAGGGGAGAAAAGATACAGAAAAATTCCTTCCCAAATTACACTAAATTACATTTAATTAAAGGAAAAACCTCAGCCAAGAGGGAAATTGATTCTATCAACCACCACATTCTCAAGTAATAACCCAAATACTCTATTTCTTACAAATAACTTTAGATATGATGCTACTATTTTAGACAATTTATCACAACATTTAAAAAGTTTATACCATACAGTTTCATTAGCTTGAAACTATGACAAAATAAGAAAAAAAAAACTTATTCCCAAGGGGGAAGAAATTTTATTTCTGGTTTCAGAGAAGCAGAGTATTTCTATACAATTTGTATCCTGAAGTCACCAACTCAATACCTTCAGTGTATAATAAGAAACAAAGACAACAGTTTAGGTTTCGAAGTAATATAATTAACCAGTTTCCCTCATGGGTAAGCGGGTAAACAGAGTGGTGGAGGAGTAACTAGTTAGGTTGTGAGCAGGTACGAAAGTAGAACACTGAAACTCATTGGAAGTGTTTGGGAAGGGAAAGAGAGAGTGATAGAAGGGATGAGACTGAGGGGAACATGCTTTAACCTGTGAAAATGTAACAGTGAATAAGGAAAGACAGACTATGTAACTACATTAAAACAATGAATAATGAAAAACAAACTATGTAACTACATTAAAGAAATTCATTTGACAGCATCTCTAGATAAAATATACTCAAATTCATAATTAAATCACTTCAAAGAATTTAACATTAAGTACATAAAATAACTTACACTTCCTGCAGTGTTTGTGACTCCAAGCTGATGTTCCAGTTAGACAATCGATTATGACTCAAATCCCTGAAGGAAAGAAAATCATTCTAATTTAGTGTTGAGAGCAAACTTAAAGGAAAAATAATAGTCTGGTGATTTAGCTTAGTGAGAGGTCTTCCCTAGTATGTGCCAGAATCTGGGTTTGATCCCTAATTACACAAATAGAAATTTTTAAAAAGCAACTAAACTAAAATAGGCATAAAAGTCTTATTAAATATGAGCTTGTGCCAGGCACTGGTGGCTCAGAGAGAGAGAGACAGACAGACAGAGAGAGAGAGAGGGAGAGAGGGAGAGAGAGAGAAAGAGAGAGAGAGAGAATTTGTGTAGTACAGATTGAAATGTTTACGAATAGAAATGTATCTGGAACCGGAGGCCGCCGGCTCATGCCTGTAAATACTGGCAACTCACGAGGCTGAGATCTGAGGATCACAGTTAGAAGTTAGCCGGTGCAGAAAAGTCCCTGTGAGACTACTGAGACTATTATCTCTAATTAACCGCTCAAAAACTGGAAGCAGTGCTCAAAGTGGTAGAGCAGCTAGCCCTGAGTAAAAGAGTTCCAGGACAGCTCCAAGCCCCACGACCAACAACAATAAAAAACTTATCTGGGTTTCAAAATACATGCATTATTGTTTAATTTTTATGTTTTCTTCAACAAGGTTCAATTTTTTTTTTA